TTGCCTTCTGAGGAACATTTGTTTAGATGTTTAAATTATTCATATTTGAAGGGAAAGCATTCTGCAAGGAACCTTATTTTTGAGATATAGCTGGTAAATATGGAAAACTTAAAACGCCCGCCTGTTCTACTTGTCATCGTTCATCCTCTGACAGCTTACACCAGTCAAGTTACTAAGTCTCTGGTTATTTTTGACACTCTGTTCCCCCAAGTATTCCTTAGAGAATCTTAAGATTCTGAGACTTAGCTTAGCAGACAGGCTGTGCCACCATGCAGTGTCTTCTTCAGCCCCTCCCCGTCCCATCACAATATGATTTAGCCAAAAATGTGCAGTGTTTTAGTGATGCAAATGCAATCATGGAATACTTAATGTAATTAAAAATACTGCTTTTCTGATTGAAACAAAAGCTAAAAGACTCCCAATTATCACCTGTGACAGTATACGTTTTTGGAGTTACCCTTTGAGCTTTTTTGGAGTTGCCCTTTGAGCTTTTTGAAGTTGCCCTTTGAACTGTGTTATCCGATTTGAACTTTTCAGACTTCCTCTTGCCACACTGGGATTTTTCTCTGGCTCTGCCCTGCAGTTCCTTTATTGAATTGGCAGTGCACCTAATGCTTTTCTCTAGCTTTCATTCGACCTTTAGTAGAGGCTAAGATTAACTTCAAGGTAAAACTGGTCCTGGTGATTGCTTGTTTCTCTTTCTTAAGCATTGCACCCGTTTGAGAAGACAGATGCTTTTAGTATTAATGGCATCAACCGTCCTTTGCTAGAAGATAAAGCGTCAAACTTTTTCTTTGGAATGTAAGCTCCTTGAGGGCACTGAGCTTGTTTTATTCATTCCTCTATTCCTAGTGCCTAGAACAGTGCCTGGAACACTGTAGAGGAAGATGTGTTGATTAAAGGGATGAAACTTTCCTGTAGGGACTCAGGAGATAGCTGGCCTAACTTAGAATAGAAATGTGTGTGCCAAGGACCCATGGTTTCAAGTAACAGATACTCAAATGGGTGTATATTTCCAGGATTTTCTCCCTTTCACATGTACCCAACCAGACACTCACATCTTGTCCTTGCTGTCCGGGGAACCTAGGGAAAAAGCCCAGCCTGCGCTTTCTAAAATATTAAATCTCACATTCACAAAGGATCTGGTTTCTGCATGTTTTTCTGTACGTTCCAAGCTCCAGCCATATGCGAATGATACTAACAAATTTATTTATGATTTGTTCATATCCTTTTTCTTCCAGAGACTGGTTGAAATATTAAACTGTTAATTTCTATTCTTCACTTCCTTTAAGCCTTAACTGGAGCCACTTCTATTGGAGAGATGCCTTCCCTGGTTGGCCTCATTTCCCTCCGGTCCCTTGTTTCACTTTGCGTTTTCTCAGTTGCCAGTAGGCTGTGCTGTGATGCTTTGCATTTATTTGGTTATATCATGTATACATTTATGCTGTGTCCTCTATTAGATAACCTTGTCATTTTTGAAGCTAACATTCATTGAGGTTTATCGTGTGTTCGGTCCTGTGTTTAGGACTTTGGATCCTAAATTATTACTTTGATTTTCACAACAACTGTTTGCAGTAGGTGGCATTATCCCCATTTTACAGATAAGAAGCCTAAGTTTTAGAGGAGAGACACACCCAAGGATGTACTCCTAGTTAAATGGCAGAGCGGGGGCTTGAGTCTTTATGCATTTGATTTAAAAGCCTGAATCATCACGTTTCACACCCTCTTAGAGGAAGGCAGGGTTCATGCCATCTGCTTCCTCCAACCAGCACACTCTTCAGCAGTATGCCATAGAATGCTCTAAGCTTCTTATGACCTGAAAAGATGTGTTTTTAAATGCAATCAATAGAAGTCTTCTGAAGAAATATATACAAGCAAATTCAGTTAAACACCACCAAAAACTCCTTCAATTAAGATAAACCGGTATTAACATGTTGGAGTATATCTTTCCTTGTTTCTTATGCAAATAATTAAGTATATACATTGGAAACACTCTTAAGGCTAAATGCATTCTACTAATAAGTTTCTCTTTCGTAGAAACAAAGTTGTATGTGTACTAAGAGCCATTTTTTTTCTTAGTACTGTTTGTGCCAATCAAGCTTACTGTAAATCTGTAATCTAATTAAATACTACATAAACCAATGAAATAGGAGTATAAAAATGCAGTTGTTGTTGCCGCTAAAATTAGGTTGAATGCTTTAGCAAAATGTGATAAAAACAAATCTTCAAAACAATTGCTTTAGAATTCAGAGTAGGTGGAATAACTGAAAGATTTGAAAATAAATGTTAAAAGTCACAAAGGATTCAGCATTCATCTTGCTTCACAAGAGTATTTAAATTTTTGTTTCATGTTAAAGAAACTAAAACTGAAAATAGAGAAGAAAATGGATTATGGATATGATTTATGCAGGAAAGATGATGTGGAATTCTAGCCAGCAAATACTCAAGTCCTCAGTGTTAAAGTTAAAATAGCATGTTTTAGGCAGCAGGTTTGTTTTTTTTTTTAATGAAGCCTCATTTTCACTAGCTTTTGAAATTAAGCAATTAACTTCTGATCCTAAATGTGTTAGATAAGAATGCCTCTACTCTATATGTCTCAAAAAAGAATAACATAATTTGCTAAGCAGCTTTTTTCATGTAATACATCATGAACATATTTTCAAGCCAACAAATATAGATTAAAACATTTTATGGCAATATAACATACACGCAGAAAAGTACACAGATCCTAAGTGTACAGCTCAGTTTATGACTATGGAGTGAACACATCCATTGACTGCCCCCCTACTTAGGTTAAGCAACAACGTTTTCAGTACCACCTGAAGCCTACCATGGCCTCTTCCTCCCCACTAGAGATAATAGTTATTTTGAATCTAACATCATAGTGTTTGTTTTTGAACTTTAAGTAAATGAAATGTGTCTAGTTTTTTATTTACTTATTTTGCTCAATATTTGTGAGATTCATCCATGTTTTTCACATGTATTATTTATTTATTCATTCTCATTGCAGTTTATTATTCCATATGAAAGAACATACCATAATATTGACTCATTCTGTTGTTTTTGTTTGTTTGTTTTATATACCTTTTTTTTTGTTGCTGTTGTTAGATAGGGCCTTGCTCTGTTGCCCAGGCTCGAGTATGGTGGCACAATCTCTGCTCACTGCAATCCTACCTGCCAGGTTCAAGTGATCCTCCCTGCACTTGGCCACCTGAGTAGCTGGGACTACAGGTGTGTGCCACCATGCCTGGCTATTATTTTTGCATTTTTCTGTAGAGGCGAGCTTTTGCCATGTTGGCCAGGCTAGTCTCGAACTTCTAGGCTCAAGTGATCTATCTGTCTTGGCCTCCCAAAATGCTGGGATTAAAGGAATGAGCCACCTCGCTTGGCCCTCCATTCCATTTTTGATGGCCATTGGGGTTGTTTCCAGTTTAGGGCTATTATGAAAAATGTTGCTATGAACATTCTTGTACATGTCTTTTGGCCTACGTGTGCAGGTTTCAAAGTTGTTTGTTTATATGCCCTAGGAATGGAATTGGCAGGAGATAGGATATGTGTATGCTCAACTTCAGGGAATACTGTGAAAGTGGTTGCACTAACCTACAATCCCATTATCAATTTATGTGAGTTACTGTTATTCCATATCTTTGGCAACATTTGGTTTTGCCTGTCTTAACTGATTTTACCCATACTGGTAGGCCTTTATAGTCTTGTGATTTTAATTTACGTTTTCCTGATGGCTAATGAGCACATTTTCATATGTTTATTGACCATTTGGATGTCTTTTGGTTGAACATGTCGAAGTATTTGTTTAGTATTTGTCTCTTGCCTACTTTTCCATAGAATTGTCAGACATTTTCTCATTTATTTGTAATTGTATGTATTCTAGATGTAAGCTCCTTTGTTGGTTATATGTGTTAGCAATGTCTTCTTCCGCTCTGTGACTTGCCTTTAGTGTTCTCTTAATAGGGTTAATGGAGCTTCCCAATTTACTAATCTTTTCTCTTTGTTGTTAGTACTTTTTGAGTCTTGTTCAAGAAATCTTCACTTATCTCCAAGGTCAAGAAGCTATCCTCCTATGTTACCTTTTATCAGCTTTATTCTTTTACCTTTCACATTTAGATCTACAATCCACATGGAATTAATTTTTGTACATATTGAAAAGTTAGGGTTAAGTTTCATTGCTATCCAGTTGATCAAGGAGCATTTATCAAAAGGGTCATCCATTCCCCCTTGCTCTGCTGTACAACCTTTTCCATAAATCAGATATCCCTACATGATGAGTCCAGCTGTGGACTCCTTATTCTCTTCCACTGGTATATTTCCCTTGAGCTAATAACATATACGTTGATTACTGTAGCTTAGTAGATTAAGGACTACATCTTTTCACCAATTCCTGGAGATTCTTGGTTGTTCTTGATCCTTCACATTTACAAATGAAGTTTAGAACAGCTTAGAACAGCTTGTCAAATTTCCACAAATAAACACAGAAACACACTCAGATTTGCAGAGATTTTTAAATGGATTGATTTGAATCTGTAGATCAATTGCTTCTACAATAAAATCTCTGAGAGAATTGATGTCTTTGCAATATTGAATTTTCCACTTTTTGCATAGAGTATCTTTCCATTTATTTGGGTTTTCTGTAATTCATTCAAAGTTTTATGTTTTAGGTATTTACCTTTAACATGATTCTTTTCAATGGCTACAGAATATATTTTTGGTTAACATAAAAATTTATTTAATTAATCTCCTTGTTTTGTAAACTTAGGTTGTTTCTGTTTTGTTTCATTGTCATAAACCATGTGATCATGAACATTAACAGATATATATATTTTAGTGCCTTTCTGTCACCTTGGAATTGACTCCCCAAACTGGAATTTCTGGATATAGCATGTACCCTCATATTCCCCAGTGAATCCTATCATTTTAAACTCTCTCCCAGGATTATAATAAGTTTAACTCTTGTGAACCTGGAGAATAACTCACTGTATTTTCAATTTTTTTTTTTTTTTTTTTTTATTACTAGTGAGACTGAACTGGTTTTCATCTGGCCAATTGTAGTTCTTTTGTGAATAGCCTTTTCATGGCTTTTGGTCAGTGTTTTTATATTTTCCTATTAATTAATAATTGCTCTTTCTATACTACACATAACTGTTTGTCATGTGTATTTACAAAATATGTCTGTGTGATAAATGAATTAATCAGTATACTTTTGTTACTGGAGTGGACCTTTACAGAGAACACAAAAAGAAAACCTTGTTAAGCCTGTTTGAAATGTGATTATTCTCCAAATGTTTATGTCCTCTGCACATTTAGGAATATCATAGCAATAATGAACTTAATAGCAGGGACAATCAGCCACTAAACGAAGTAGAAGAAAGATAATATAATTACATGGGAAGAACATGGAAATTAGATCCAGAAAACTGGGTTCTAGATATGATCTCACTGCTCTTTAGCTCCATGATCTTGATTAAACCATATATTCTCTCTGAATCTTAATGTCTTCATCTGTATAGTGGGCACCTTTATACTCATTTATCTTCCAGATCTAAGATGAGATCATATATGAAAAGCAGTAGTGCGAACAGTGAAAGTTATACAGTAGAAATTATAATGCCAACAAATATGGTGTAAGTGTAGCAAGTTGAATGTATGCTATGTTTAATTACCGTCTTTCGAGGTAATCTAATTTATAAAATATTCAGCCTAACGGCCATCATTCTAGGTCTGTGGTTTGTGAGTTTGTACTAATTTGTATGACTCCTTTTAAAAAGAAATGGTTTGTTGCTTGAAAAAATCAAGTTGACATCCTTTGTGACCGTTCAGAATGTGTTTGTGGTTTATTGGCTTCTAAGGCATTAGGCCTCTGTCTCCCATATTGACAGTCTTTATGAGCTCGTTAGCCACTGTTCTGGTAAAAGCCATTTGATCCGTGGAGAGGGCACTACATTTAAAAGAGTACTGAAGTTGGCAGTCTATATTTTGGTCCTTTCATTAGAATGTGCCCTTTACAAAAGAGGCAATATGAATTTGCATTGCAAAGGATAGCTTATTTCTTTTTAGAACTCTTGAAGCCAGGTAATTTAATTATGTCTATGCCATAGCCTTTTATCTTCCTCTGCAAAGAAACTCTCTCTTCTGACACCTCATATTGGAAGCCAGTCTTCTTATCCCCAGGATTAATTAACATGCAAATACTTGTCTAGAGACACGGGAACAGTGCATTTTCAATTAGCATTTAAATGTCACTCTTAATGATGTTAGATTGATTCCTTTAAGGGAAAATTAAAATAGTAGTCATCTCTGGATTATTTCCTAGGCATATTATTGATATTTCTGAAGATGTGGCCTTAGTAGGAGCTTTAATCTTCTACTGTTCACAGACCGATTGAGTCCGAGCCAGGGTTGGACTGGATGGCAGCAAAGCCCAGTTCTGGCCTTCCTTTGGCCCTGGTTTCCTAGCTAGGCCTGCTTATTGTGCCCTGTGCTGCTTCTCTGTAGCAAGTGTATTTATGTAGGTGCGGCACCTGCAGGAACTATTTGCAACTGAGAAGGGTACCCAGGAGCAAGGAGGAAAGTATAGAGTGGCTTTGGTAGCAATCATGTCCCAAAAAATAAAGATGAACTTTGGAGTTAGAGATACATAGGTTCAAGTGTTGCCTGTGCCACTTTGAAGCAGTGTGACGCTGAGCAAGTTATTTCCCTTCACTAAGACTCAGTTTCCTCATCTGTAAAATATAAATAGTAATATTTACCAGTCAGGTTGTTAAGAGGGTAAAACATGACAATGTATATACAATATGTCTTACTTAAGCCAGTGTAGGCTAACTGCTATAACATAGAACTCCAAATCTCAGTGGTTTAACGTAGGTTATGATGTGGTTTGACTGTGTCCCCACTAGAATTCCCACGTATTGTTGGAGGGATCCATTGGGAGGTAGTTGAATCATGGGGCGGGTCTTTCCTGTGCTGTTCTCGTGGTGGTGTATGAGTCTCATGGGATCTGATGGTTATATAGGGGGTAGTTTCCCTGCATAATCTCTCTTATCTTATCTGCCGCCACGTGAGGTGTGCCTTTCACCTTCTGCCATGATTGTGAAGCCTCCCCAGCCACGTGGAACTATAAGTTCGTTAAATGTCTTTTGTAAATTGCCCAGTCTCGGCTATGTCTTTGTCAGCAGTGTGAAACAGACTAATACAGGTTATTTCCTGCGGAAGAAAGGAGGGTTTTGCAACACGGAGACATTCAGGGACCCAGATGTCTTTCATCTGGTGACCTTGTCATTTTCGAAGGCCTTGGAACCCTCATTGAATCATCTGTCTCTGACTGGCAGGAGAAGGGAGTAAACATGGATTGTGCAGGAGGCCAGGCTAGAGGTGGGGCGCGTTGCTTCCACTCAGATCCCGTTGCTTGGAATTCATAGCCATACTTACTTTGGGGTTTTTTTGTTTTTTGTTTTTTTGAGACAGGGTCTGGTTCTGTTGCCCAGGTTCTAGTTCAATGGTGTGATCAGGCTTGACCACCTGGGCTCAATTAGTCCTCCTGCCGCAGTCTCCCAAGTAGCTGGGACTGCAGGTGTGTACCACTACACCGGCGAGTTTTTATATTTTTTGTAGAGATGGGGTTTCACCTTGTTGCCCAGGCTGGTCTTGAACTCCTGAGCTCAAGTGATCCACCCACCTCAGCTTCCTTAAGTGCTGGGATTACAGGTGTGAACCACTGTGTCTGCCACCATAGCTACTTTCAAGTGAACCTGGGAAATTTGAGCTTAAGAGAACACCAAAATGGATTTGTTTAATAAACACGTAGTCCACCACTGTATAGTTCGCTGCAAACATTCAATAATACTTGTTGAATAAATGAGAGAAAGAAAAAAATGAAATGAATTTTCTTTTTCATAGATTTCTAGAGTATTAGATCTGATGAAGGCCTTGGAAGTGATAAAGGTTTTACCCCTTCTTTTATAGATGAGAAGCCAGAGGGCCTGAGGAATTTAGTTAGTGGCGAATGCAAGATCATCCAGCTGTTTGGTAGCAGGATCATAACTTGAACCCACTTCCCCCAAATGCTGCTATTTATTCCGCATTTAATTATTGAAAATATCATTGTTTTCTGCTATAGGGTTGCCCTTGCCTTTTGGAATGTGAAGATGGGTTAAGGGGTGGGAGGGGGGATAAGGATGTTATTCTGATCCTTATAGGTAGACCTCAGTTTTCTCTGGGGAAGGAGGTTTGGTATTTTATGGTAGTAGGATAGATATACCCTCAGGGCTGGAGCCTCTATGGCTTCTCAGTAATTTGTTTTTGTTTTTTTTTTTTCCCATTTATTTATTTTATTGCATTTTAGGTTTGGGGGTACATGTGAAGAACATGCAAAATTGTTGCATAGGAACACACGTGGCAGTGTGATTTGCTGCCTTCCTCTCCATCACCTACATCTGGCATTTCTCCCCTTGCTATCTCTCCCCAGCTCCCCACCCCCCACCATCCCTCCCCTATTTCCCCCCAACTGACCCCAGTGTGTAGTGCTCCCCTCCCTGTGTCCATGTGTTCTCATTGTTCAACACCCACCTATGAGTGAGAACATGCGGTGTTTAATCTTCTGCTCTTCTGTCAGTTTGCTGAGAATGGTGGTTTCCAGGTTCATCCATGTCCCTACAAAGGACCCAAACTCATCGTTTTTGATGGCTGCATAATATTCCATGGTGTATATGTGCCACATTTTCCCTATCCAGTGTATGGAGAGTGAAAATTAGTCTTCACTCACTCACTCATGTGTTTAAATAGCTTTTCTTTAGTCCCCTTCTATGTGTAACAAATCATGCAAGGTGATGTGGGTGCAATGGTGAGTAAAGCTGGAATATTCACAACCTAAGGTAGGTGTCAAATATTTACACATTAATCACTAAATGAAGTGAAGAGCAAGGAGGAAGCAACAAGGTGAACATGACCAGCTGCTAGCGTGGGGAGGGAGAGGGCATACGGAAAGCTTCATGCAGGCAGGGTCTTAAAGAATGGATCACACTTTGTTGGGAATTTGATCTGTTCTGAAATACACATACTTGTATTTGTGTAGTTGGTGTAAATAACCTTAGCTAGTTGTGGATGTGCATTGAGAGAAATGAAAAAAACTGACAAAAACCCACAATGACGATCAGTGCTCCTGAGGATTTAGTATTCACATTTACCATTCATTTGTAATTTTGTCAAGTTTTTAACAGTAAGTCATTAATAAAATAACCTTCCAGATACAGGTCAAACATCAACAAGCAATATTTTATCACATGCCAGCAAGTTTTAGACCCAGTGTTTTTGGTTAGGTACAGACCCTTAGAATTTGTAGGGGCAGGGGTAAGATGCATGAAATAACAGCAAACTAAGTACCAGTATGAAGAGGAGGACACACACCTGTGCAGAGGATGTACAAACACGTATATGGGTTTGGATTAGGAGGCCTGGTTTTCAGAAAGGTTTCTGTGAGATGTACTATTTAGAGCTGAGTTTTGTAGGATTGATGGGCAAGCTTAGGAGTTGGCATCTCAGGTATAATTATTAAATAGTGGTGAAAGAGCACAGGTTACTCTATAGTCTGGCAAAGAGGATTTGTGGAAAAGGGATATTGGATGAAAGTTTTAGTTAATAAGTGGCAGAGCTTGCTTAATGCCCTGGACTCGTCTGATGTCTGTTCTTCTCCCATCGCTCCATGCTGCTTTGCTGAGAATGTGGGTAGGAGTCAGAATCCTACGATGTTTTCCATTTGGAGGTTAGAGTCAGGGTTGCCAGGGGCTGGTAATCAAACAGGTGGTGTTTGTTTTTAGTATCCTTAGCTCCTTTTTGGTGTGTCTCTTCTCTCCTTGGCATTCATTTTCTCACACCCTTCCCATCTGATTCACAGTAGGATTTCAGAGGACTCTAGAAAGTATTTGTATTATTTTAAAATAATACATTTTAAATTATAAATGTATCCTTATAGGAACCATTCAAATGCAAAAAAGGACATTAAATGCAAAGTAATTTTCTCTTTCTCCAAAACCTTTAATCCTTGTTTTTAAAAAAATATCTTTTCAGAAATTTTATATGGACATTCAAGCACACACAATATATCCTCTTTTATCTAAGAGAACCCATTTAATATATGCATTTTCTGTAATTTGATTTTTTTAATTAACATATGAGACAGTCTTTCATATGATTACATAGTTCTACCTTATTTTATTTTAATCAGCAGAATAGTAGTCCACTGTACTGCTTTTCTGTGATTCTTACTGAACACTATTAAATTTATTTTCTTAATGTTTGCATTTATTATACACCGTGCTTCAGAGAACATCCTTACAGTGATCTGCAAACTTGTAAAAAGGGGTTATTTGTAGGGGACTTGCAATGGAATTCCGAGGATGAAGAGTTTGTGTATTTAAAATTTTATTAGATATTGAGGAATTGTCCTCCAGAAAGGCAGTAGTACCATTTTCATTATATCCACAGTCTATGTGAATGCTTGTTTCCTAAAGCCTTTTTCTTTTTAAAGAGGACTTGAGGTCAGAGAAGAAGAGACAAAGAGCAGAGTGGGTACTAAAAATAAGTCGTGCCTAAGAGAAACGAAAACACATGTTCACACAAAAACTTGTATATAGTAGCATGATTTATAGCAGCCAAACAGTGGAAAAAGCCCACTGTTCATCAGCTACTGAATGATAAACAAAATAGGGCATATACATGCAATGGAGTATTATGCAGCAATAAAGACTACAACGTGGATAACCTTTGGAAGCATGCTGCTAAGTGAAATCATCCAGGCATAAGATCATGCATACTTACATGAAATATCCATAGAGACAGAAAGAAGATAGTGGTCGCTTAGAGAGGAAGGTGGGGAGGATTTGGGAAGTGACTGTGGGTATATAAAGGGTTTCTTTTTGGAGTTATGGGAATGTTCTAAAATTAGATTGTGGTGATGGTTGCACATCTCTGAATATATTAAAAACCACTGAATTGCACACTTTAATGTGTGAATTTTACAATACGTGAATTTTATGTCAACAAAACTATTTGAAAAAATAAGTGGTGGCAGAATGCATGGTATGGAATGGAAAGGATGAGGATATGGTCATTCTCATGGGCCTGTGGGTCAGGCAGGAAGACAGTGCCATAGCCAGCATGGCAAGGCATTTAGATGGGGGAAGGTATTCTGCCAGGCTATGCTGAGCTGGGTGTTCAGGTGGCTGACGACCAGCTATACGGGTGGATGGTGGAGTTTTTTCCCCTAGCAGAATAGAGAAAAGAGGCAGTTGATGCCATACCCTAGACGGGGTCAGAACTGAGGTTAGTACACTGAATTTCTGACCTCTTGTTCTTTTTCAATCCTTTGAATACATGGAAGATCCTGTTCTCCTGGAAGGCAGTAAGTTTCCTTTGCTGACCTAGAAATGCCTGCTGTGCTCCAGCATTTGGAAAACGAAGGTCAGAGAGAGGAAGCTGAGCTCAGCTGCTGAGTCAAGGAAAAGAGAAGGAAGACCTAGGGGTCACCAACGAAGATGAGGCCCTCATTTGTGAATAAGTGTAGGCAGGTTTAAATTCAGTAATTAAGCTCTTTCTACACAAGTGGAAGTGACTGTTCTTTTGGAATGTGTTTGCTAGTAAATATCATAAGCATGTTTAAAGGAAGTTATGATTTTAAGTGACCTCTGAGTTGTGCTGATGGATAAAATTTAGCTCAAGGGAACAAAGGTTAATCTTATAGTATATCCTGAAAGTTAAAGGGAAATCCACACACCTTCCCACCAAAGTCCGTTTTTCCTGGTGTTTGTGGCTTTTTGAACCTGCTGCTTGCTTCTCATTCCTCATCATCATGGCTCCATAGGATATATTAATTAAATTAAACCATGACATCCAAATCTTCTTAGTTACTCTCAGGTCTGAGGTTTTCAGCTTTAGAAAGAACAGAGGTCTCCATGGTTTTGTTTTGAAGATTTGTGTGTGGCTACTGCTCGTTTCCCAGCAGTTTGGTATAGAAGCCCAAGACGGTTCATGTGTGGTTCAGTATTGACCTAATAGCAAAATAATTTTGGACCAAACAAAAGTCCTTTTCTTTGTCACTGTATTTGATTAATTACCCTGTATATGCGTTATTATCTAAAAACTTCATTTTAGAAAATACCGTGGTTATTAAACAACGAGTCTTTGTGCTTGATTAGGACATAAACAGGAATCTCACCCACTTTTAAACCTTTCCAAGAAATAACTTTTCTTCTGATTTTATTTTGAATTGCTAAAGAACTTTTAGCAGGGAGAGAAAATTTGGTTGATGATTCAGCGTGTGAGGGAAAGGAAGCGAGGGATTCTGGCACATGCGCACAAATTAAATGGCAACCGGCGGATATTTTTATATTTATTGCTATTCTTAGCCTAAGGCCTGGAACTGAGTAGGGAGTAACTAAGCTTAGCCATACTTATTAGACTTAGAGATTTTACTTTGTTTATGTCAGTGTCAAGGCCTTTGGGAAAACTTTCGTATGCTTAGCTGATTTCTTGAAATACAGTCTTTCTCTCATGTAATTTCCTCTCATTCAATAAATGAAGAATAAAATGTTGACAGGTTAACCTGCAAGACAATCTAAGTTGCTGTTTATTTTTGTCTATTAGCCAGACCTTAACCCACTATGCATAGCCACACAGGGTGGTTTTTTTTTTTTTTTTTTTTTTTTTTTTTTTTTTTT